ACAAATTATAAATTTATTATAACCAAATTACAAAATTAAGAATTGAGAATTGAATTACAAATTTTTAAAATTAAACACTTAAAATATAATTTAAATTAATTGATCATTTTAACACTTCTCCATCATTCTTCCAAATGAAATGCTACCACGTCATCACAGTAAAGGAATTTTCTGAGAAAGGTACGCTACTTAATTAGGCTAAATAATATAAAAAATAAATTTAAATTTGGAAGCACTGAATTACCTTTTATAATAGGCATTTAGGTTTTCAGTATCCGAAAAAAGAGGAAATTGCTTAGAAAGACCAGGAGCTAAGTTTATTTAGAAAAAAGACTCAAAATATTTTAATTGAATTAAAGTTAACTTATTGTTTTTTCAAATATCTTCATCTGGCAAGTCGGCTTCTCTCATAGAGAAGCAATTGTTCAAATTCAATATTTTTATTTTTTATTTTTAATTTATATTTAAAATTTATATATAAAAATTATAAAATTTTTTAATAAATATACTTATTAATTTAACAATCCAAATTTAATATAAATGTTCTAAATTTAATATTAAAATTTTTAATAAATTTATTATTCTATTGAAAATATATTTATACTGCATAAAATATATTTAACAAGTTAATTGAAATTTTTTTATATCAAATTTAAAGTATTTATATTAATTTGGACTGTCAGATTAATAAATATATTTATTAAATTTTTTAAAATTTTTATATATTTTTGTTTTAAAATATTAATTAAAAATAAAAAATAAAAAATATTAAACCTGAATCGTTTGAATTTACCTCTGCCTCAACGAGGCTTCTCTCGAACTTCGTTCCTCTCGCAGTCTTTCGTATCAATTAGCAAAAAAGCCGTCAAATTCATTAAGATGTCAATGTCAGACGATCACTTCCTCGTAGTTTGCCATCGCCGTGGACCTACTTTGTTTGTCCTCAATTTCATCAATCTATAATCCTTCGATTGATTTCGGGCATCGTCGGATTATATATAGTACTAGTAATTGCCTGAATTGTCGCTGCATCCATTATATTTATTATAGTATTAAATTTTCTTCGATACATCAGCAGGTTTTCAAATTTTCAAGCAGGCATACATCGTACTCCTCTAATTTTTTTTTTTCTATATTTCAATTTTATAAATAAACAAATTTTTATGTACAGTTTTTTTACAAGTAAAATAATTTTTAATGAGCATTTATAACATCTTTGTCAAGCTACCATATTCTTAAATCGATGAAAGATTAAGATTTTTATTATCTCATTTATCTATATATGAAAAGTGAGGAAGTAAGTTCTAAGTTTTGACACGTTGCCATGGGATTTCCATTTTGGATAGCTCTTTTTGCATCTTTAATTATGCTTCACCTGGTTTCACATTAGGAAGTGAATGATGATTGAGTTTGCTCCCTCTATGTTTGCATTAGGATTATTGTACTATTCTTTTTCATTGTTTTGAATGAATTCTAGCTTTTGATTCAACCAAAAAAAAAAAAGAATGTCCCCTGACCACAATTAATGTTTAATGAATGACCCAACCATGTTAGTTCGGCTACACTAGTGTACAAGTTGAAGTTAATGTCAAGTAATACTCCCTCCATTCTAAACACTTTTAAACGAATTATATTTAATAATTTTATTTTTTTAAAACAATATTATTAAATATAATTAACAACTTTAAAATAAAAATATAAACTTTTAAAAAATATTTTTAATTTAATATATTAAAAAGAGAAAGGGATGAAAATTAAATAAATAAAAAAATAATATTAAAATAAATATAATTAATAAAATTTTAATATTTTCAAAATATCATTTTTTTAATATATCAAATCCCTATAAAAAACATATTTTATAATTTGAAACATTAGAAGTAGTATATTGGTATTATTTATGCTTTTGCTCTCTCTCTTTCCCTATCCAAACGAGTATCACGACGATCCCTACACGCGAGACGCGTCTAAACTGTAACTTCAACTGACGCTGATTTCTGGACTGGGACTGTTTCGACCCATCCCAATTCCTGTTCTCTTCAGCAAATTTATTTTTATATATTAGTTTTTGGACTGCGGAATGTTCGCTTTTTGTGGAGGTTGTGTCCATTAATTATATACGAAAAAAAACAGCGAAGATGAAAGAGTACAGAAAAAACCAGCGGTCATTAGATATAACGCTTCTAGCGTCAGATGCATGTTAACTAAAAAGTTACATGTTAAAAAAAAAAAGAAAAAAGAAAAACAATGCGCATTAGCCCTTCTTTTGCATATTTGATTAAAATATTTTGCATATTTGATTCACTGCACTTATTATCTCTGGGTGAAGGTGGTGGTTGACCATAGAATGATAGTTGTGATCTGGTTTTATTTCGTTGCATATTTTTACCCTTCAAAAAATAATATAAAATCAACTAAATTTGGCAAAATTTTATGCTGTCAAAGAAAACATTCTGAAATGAAAATAACACGGTAAAAATCTGTGAGATTATTCAAATCACATGTTAGTTTATGTTTTGGCACGAAACTCAAGTTTTGGCCTTTTGCCCTTTATATGACGAGTCAATTATAAGAGTTTTCTTTTATAAAAAAAAATACAAGAGTTTAAAAATCCATAAAAAAATGTAAAGTAGATTTGTTTTTGGTGCATTAAATTTACAAGGCACGAGACACTTTAATTTAGAAATAATATTGGTGAAATCTTAAGGAATTGAGCTAATAATACTCAGATACCATAAAAAAATTTATGAAAAATGAGTTGAAAATATTATAAATTTAAAAATGTACATTAAAAATAAGGCATTTAAATTTAAATTTTAATAAAGTCTGAAGTTTAAGCCAGAGTCACCAAGCCTGAGGCCACGGTGAAGTGAAAAGTTTAGCAATTGCAGTCATGAAGGGAAGAGAGATTATTAGTAGAAAACTCAAGCACCCTCGTTCTGTGTGGCCTTCCATGTTCCCATTTCACCTTGTTTTTACTTTTACTTCAAATCACTCCTTCAAATTAACCGATTCTTGGGGAGCACGCTTCCTACAGTGCAATCTCCTTCTTCCTTTCGCCTACCATAAAGGTACTATCACTCTCCCTCTGCTTCGCTCAAATCACAATACTCTGGATCAGAATCTTTCTTCTCGAGTCGATTTTCTGGAATTGCTCTGTTCTTCCTTCCTCAACTTCCCATCCTCTCCCATCTTGCTCGAATGAAAATTACGGAAGGAAACTCGAAGATCAGACCACCTCAAACTCTCCCGCCGAGAAGGGGCCAGGTCAAGATTAGGATCTTCAGGACCATCTTCAATTCGGTGGCGGCGTTGGCGTGTTCTTCCGGTGGCTCCGCACCCCCCAGGAATGGCGGGACACGCCCGAGGAATTGCGGGGACTGCCCTCCGGCGAGCTCTGCTTCTACAACGCCTCCGGCTCCGAGTGGCTACAACACTTCGGATGACTGATCTCCGAAGACGAAGGAGCTGAACCTCCGATGAGTTCCGATTCTACAACGCCTCTGGTTTTCGGGAACCATGCTTCCCTTGTCGATAATTCAGGGTCTGCAAGCTGCTAGTGTTAATTATCCTTATTATAATTTTTTTAATCTGTTTACCGGCGACGCCATTTGCGGCGTTCCTTCTGGGTATTCTGGGATATTTGTTATCTCTTTGTTTTTTTTTATTTTTTGTAATTATTTAAAAGGTTTATGTTAAGAGCGTAGAAGTGAAATTCGAAAGAAGAAGTAATAGGTGTAGTGATTGTAGGTAAGAGAGATTTGTATTTTGTAGAGACCTGATGAAACTGTTAAGTAACGTTAGAAGATCGTGTAGATAAATGACATGGTTTCAGAATCGAATCTCATTCTAGATGCAGATGCTGATCGATATGCCGAATTTATGAGTTTATGTTGGGCTTCTTATGGCATTTTCAGAATTTTCCCCATCAACCTGCATTCTTTCCCGCTCAGGTCAAGCATCCATGGAATTCCCCGTTTCGCCTCTATTTAAAAAAAAAAAAAAAAATCTAGAGCTGGCCTCATCATTTATTGGAGTTGGCCTCAGTAGCAATGGGAGGTTTTGGATCTCTGATGATCGACTTCCCCAAATCTAGAGGCAGTAGATGATGAGAAGAATTAATCTTTATTCTTGTCTTGTACATAGTTTTTTCGTGAATCGAATGTATTGATCACTTTTCATTAAAAAAGAAAAAAGAAAAAAACTAAAAGGTTGCATACCAGATGAGGTAGAGCAATAATTCATTCTCATCGTCTCTTTTTTCATATCTCAGAATCTTTCATATCCAAACAACGCCAAGGCAAAAAAGGGTAGTCTAACTTTTCTTTTGTATCTTTACTAAACGAGGGCTTAAGCTTCTCTTCTCATGAAAATCTATCTAGTGAACTCTTATTGATCTAATAATAGATTTGTTAGGGATATTTTTCTCTTCCAGTCCTCTAATCTGTAGTCAAATTTTTGTCTGTAGTGTTTGATTACCAGGATGATGAAACTGCTATGATCGATATTGATTGGAAGTGGGAATGGCTTTCAAGATTTTGTATTTGTGAATGGAACTCTTCTTGATGATGTGCCTTTTGAATTTTAACTGCGTGGCCTATAACGAAGGAGACCAAGAACAACACTTTCTCCATTGAAGAATATAGGCGTTATCACCTATCTCAGCTCAGGGAAGTGTTAGAAGTCCCCTTTTCTTTTGGTTGCTCATCGATGAAACAGAGTTGCACATTTTGTGGCGCTACTCTCTTGAGCGGGCTTGTCGACCATCACCCATTTTGACATCAACCCTGAAAAATTTATGAGTAGGTTACAAATAATATACATTAAATAGTAACTTATCTAATCCTCATTCTCATGCGAAGCATGGTATCCATATCCTTAAAGAATGGGGCTTGTCAGCAAACAGGCCGTGTGAAATTGCAATGAGAACCATCGGCCCAAATCTTTGAGCCCAAGTTCCCCAATGTTGTTACTTACCGGCAGGCCTCTATTGTGATTGGTCACATTTGTGAGACGCTTATTGGAGCAGAAGCAGACGACGCTACTCGTAGCTGACCTCGGTGGCCGGGGAAGCAGGAGAACTGGGGAGCACTTGTCGGCCGTTTCTTGCTCTCGTGTGGCCTTTTTGTTAGGGAAAAGACGACAAAGATGACCTTGCGTATCCTCACCAGAGCCTGGCAGAGCCGAAGGAGAAGGCGGATTTTGGATCCTGCTTTGATCTCTCGCTCTTTTTCTGAGCTTTCTTCTCGATCCGAACGGTTCGGGAAACGATTCCTTATTTCATTTTTCTGTAATTGGAAGCAGAGCGTCACACTCATTTTTGTTGGATTTCATCATGAATTTCCAGACCTTCTTTCGGCATTGCGTTCGACATCGACGGTGTCATTGTGCTCGGGAATTCCCCCATCGGTGGCTCTGCGGCTGCGTTAAGGAGGTTATATGACGAAGCCGGTACAAATTGCATGTCTTCACTTCGCACCTACTATTTCTGAGGATTTAAGTTGCTGTTTTAGCATCCTATTATCGCTGTCAAGGACTGATGTACTTTTTCCTCTCTTTATGTTGCCAGGTAAAATGAAAGTCCCGTACGTTTTCTTGACAAATGGTGAGATGCTACTTTCTGTCTTTCTCGACCAAGTCTATGTATTCTGATTAAAAGAGTTCTAAAGAATCTTAACTCTGCTCTGGCATCCTCGTTATGGCGGCTGGAGCATTGGACAGTTATTGAGAATGTTGCATGAGAATGGATATAATCTCGTTGTGTATAAGCCTCTGTCCATACTTCCTTGTTCGCAAAAGCTAGTGTAACTTCCATTAACTATTAGTATATTCACATTGCCTTAATTTTCTATCATTAACTGGTGACTTACGATTGAAAAATGATTACTGTGAGACTTAAATGCTGTCTGCCATGTTGTGTGATATATTTTTAGTTTTTTGGTTTTGGATAGTCAAATTTATTAGTAGTATCAGTAGCATCAGTTATTGAACTATCAACTCTATGAACTCTATCGCCTTTTCAGAATACCTCACTTCTTGGTTCTTGAATTATCCTTTGCATAGGCGGTGGTTATCCTGAATCTAGAAGAGCCTCTGACCTTAGTTGTCTGTTAGGCCTACATATATCATCTTCACAGGTATTTTGAAAATATAGTAACCGCTCTTTCTTCTTTCTCGTTTTCCTCGTATACTATTCTATTTTGCTGCATGCATATCCATGTAAACATTCAAAGCACCAATGGACTAGTTTTACCTTCATTGTTATGAATCCTCTCCTTAAGTTTTTTATTTTATTTTTGTTTTTTGGCCTTGAATCAAGGAGTTTTGTCCTTAATCATTTAACTCCGATCATTATGCAGGTCATTCAGGGCCATTCTCCATTTAAACAATTGGTCAATCGGTATGCATTTTAAAGTGGTGTAAAATCACGATATGCTGAATTTTAATAAAGATCACCTTGCATTTCAGGATGCAATGTGAATGTTTAGCTTTGTGTTTGAATGATCATATTCTCAAAAGAAGCTCGAGGCTTCAAGAACATATTCTGATTTTTGTGGATCCACGTTGTCCCATGTTATGCTTTATTATAGGAAATACGAAGATCTATTGTGATCTTAGGATAACATTAAATTTTTATATTGTTTTATATCATGATGCTTGGAGGTTTTAGTATAATTTATATCATGAGCATGGTACTGCCCATGAGTTCATAGATTGAACTGGAATCCATTTGAATTGTTTTATAGCTAGATGTTGTGGGTTGTTATCATGCTAAGTTTCTAATAACAACCAACAACTATATCCAAGAACTTGGTGTGAAAATGGCTCTCTACAATCTGCACAGTATGAAAGGAAGGGCCTATTTTCCCAATGTTTAAATTTTGAGTGGGTCAATTGTCTTAATTGAAAGTGCCAAGGTTCATGTATCAGAAGGTTAAAGTTGAGAGGATTGCTTCTTAGTCATCCTAAAACAATTCTGGAGTCACGTACCTATATACTCCTGTAATTTCCTAATGGAGAGAACCTATATTATCTTAGTCTTTTTATCTTATAGATTTTTCAGTTTGCAGATTTCAAAATGAACTCATTGTTGCTGTGGGAAAAGGGGAACCTGCTGCTGTGATGTCTGAATATGGTTTCAAGTAAATTTTTAACATGACTGGTTTATTTGATATTTCATGAAACGTTAAACAGTGTAATGTTAATTGTAATATCTCATGACTTTGCTTTTATTGCTTTCTATCTTCAGAAATGTCATTTCAATTGATGAATATGCATCATGCTTTGAACATATTGATCCTCTGGCACCGTACAAGAAATGCACAACACAGTTGGTTGTTGATCAGAATTCAGAATTAAAGGAAAGTGCTCCGAGAAATAATGTCTGCTCTGAGAGGGTTAGAGCAGCTTTTGTAGTTAGTGACCCTGTTGATTGGAGCAGAGATATACAGGTTACTAAAATTCTATGGTTTATCATATGAATTTTCTTAATTTGACGTTTGAATATTTAGTAGGGGATATATTATGTGCAATGGTTTTCTAGCTCATCCTTTTGAACCACAGTCTGTAATAGTTATAGTTCAATTAAACATCTTTTACTATAAGCATCCAACGGTCAATTTGAAGTTTAACCATTATGCAATATTCGTTTGTCACAAAGAGGCGTGAAAAAACACATCATGAACGACTTGGTGCTTTCCTTGATGGAAAGTTGCATCTCAGGAGTTACCCACATGGTAGTACGGGGCTTAAGCAAATCCAATTTGGTGATGTTTTCAGCAGATCGAAATAACCAGTCTAAGCCTGTTCTTCAAGCATATTTTATCATCCTCGATACAATATTTGTGTTGACAAAATTTATCACCACATTCCTTGATAGTAGCAAATTTTCTGTGCTTCGGCTATTGGTGGACCATAACTGTCTTCACGTTATAGCTAGGCCAAAAGAATTAAAACAAACGAACAGGAAAGGAATAGAAAAAAGGGGTATACGATTAATGTTTCACCAAAAGAGGCTATATTGAGAAGCATTCAACTATTAAGACTGACACCTCAAAAGGCTCTCATCGATAATACTTGGTTTGTTACAATCGTTCTTGAATGGTACCTTGTGTTTTCAAGCACCCAAAAAAAAAAAAAATCAGCCTCTACGTTTGTACTCTTTTGTAGTTGTTAAATCTGTTTTTTTTTTTTTTTCCTTCTCGCATGACAGGTAGATCTGTGACTGACCACAACATATTGTTCAGGTTCTCTCTGACATCTTAAGGACAGGAGGTCTTCCTGGAAGAAATGTTGGACCACAACCTCATTTATTCTTTGCAAATGATGACCTTGAGTACCAGGTTTGTTGATTTTTGTTATATTAACGGCAAGATGGAGATTCCATGGAACCCTTTTAAAATACTATACCATGTTTACTGATGAGGCCGCACCAAAGTTAGACTGCTTTTCCTTCTGAACGTCTTGGCATGGGAGCTTTTAGAATTGCATTGGAGTCCATCTTCAATAGGTAAGAATGCCTGATATCTAACTTATGTTTGCCTATATTTTGGTTCCTCTAATTGAACACGACTTAGATGAGGAATACTGTTCTCGTTAATCCTCGTCATCAACGCAGCCAAAAAAAAAAAAATATAGATTAGTATCCTGGCGTAGCTTTTGTTCTCATTAACAAACTTAATTTTTATCTTGGAATGCTCCCTTGCAGAATTCACCCTCACGCTCTAGAATATACTAGTTTTGGCAAACCGCATCCATCTGTATTCAAGAATGCAGAACTTGTGTTAGAGCAAGTCACGCTATCACTTGATGATCTACATGACGTAAATCATAAGAATGCTCAGTGTTTCAAAACTCTTTACATGATTGGAGATAATCCTGCAGTTGACATCAAAGGTGCAAGACAGGTTTGGCTCTGGGACTGTGAATTATGTTTCACCAGTGAGATGCATAATTTTATCTGCAGACGAATAATGCTGTGAGAATCGAATTTGATTCATTTCAGGCTGGACATCCTTGGTTTTCTATTCTCACGAGAACTGGAGTTTTCAAGGGGAAGGAAAATCATCACGAGTTTCCAGCGGATCTGGTACTCCCCACCTCCTCTCCCACCAAAGACTATCTATATTTTAAAAAGGTTAAAATGTATAAAACTTTTCTAAATTTTGAGACAACTGCATATGATTTCTCTCACTTCAAACGTTCAAAGTTAACTCTCGTAACCTTCAATTTTGTTTTCTAGAACCTCCTGCCATTGATTAACTATTATTTTATTAATATAGTGATTATCATATTAGAGTAATGCAATACACATGGCACATGACATGAAAAAATTTTTTTATAAGATTTTTAAACACATTTGTATAACTTCTGGAAACACTCATCTTTACGTAATCTGCAGGTTGTTGACAATGTGGAAGAAGCAGTGGACTATATTTTGGCAAAGGAATGCGTCTTGTAGGTTGCCGTTGCTTTCCATGACCGAGGCTTACGAGTCCCGGAAACTGAAAAATGATAATAGTTTTATGATTCTTCTGTATTCTTTTGAAGCAGAAGTCACTGAATGAAAATTTTAAAGCTTCGATTGGGTTGAAATTGATGGGTTTGTTATCCCCTTGTATCTTGTGATCAAGGTTAAAAGAGAAAAAGGGTTATTATCCTTTGTATTGCATTTCTTATAGTTTCTCCTTCAAACCCGTTGCCAGTAAAAACTAAAATGTAGCAAAAATAATATATGAAAGACCGCTCTGCGCATCGAATTTGGTGACAGACCCCTCTTTTCTATAATTTTATTGCTTACCTTCTCACACTTCAAACCTGATGGAAAATTGAATTCTTTTTTTTTTTTGGTTAAGAATTCTTTTTTATTTTGAGCAGGAAATGAAACTAAAAAAAAGCAAAAGAAAAGAAAATCTTATTTGATTGTTACCCGAAGAGGGAAAAAAAAAAAGTGATCTTGGATCCAAACAAGCAAGCAACCGCCCTTTCGTTCCAGAACCGACAAGTTCCTGCAATCCCTACAAGTGAAATGCCAGAACAAGGCAAATTCTTTTAGTTATTGCTCAACATTTCTATTTTGGAAAACTCCACAAGAATCTGGTTGTCTTCAAGATCTACTGGCAGTTTAACAGTGATGGAGATTCCATATAAAGAACAGAGACGCATATTTCTGGACATAGCTGTAACGTTCAAAACTATATTTGAACTATTGAATAAATTGCAACGACCCGAAATGGTTTTGTACTTATCCTCATAGTCAACATTTAGTTTGGACGTGCATGAAGTGAATTATAATAATTGGGTGAACATGCTTCTCCCTGGTATAGCAAAGTTATCAAAATCTCAGATTAATCTGAGAAGCGCAATTTCGTCACCATGCATTTTGTATTGTTGTTCTCCAACAGTCCACGGGAGACACGTATCTATCATTGCGAGTCTCTTCTCTTAGCTGGGATGACACATGTTGATGTGGAAATTAATGTCTTACATCCCATCTCGACCAATCAGTTATATCAATAATTAACTTTATTTAATTTTTTTTTTAGATAGAAAATATCAGTTGAGGATAGGAACAAGGAAGTACTCCTCAAGAGCATCGGAAATTCGGAGTCCATAACTAAACCATGAACTTGCCCTGTGATATCCTTTTTGTTATAAGTTGGATCTCATGAATTTATCAAGATTTTGCATGTCTCTACGCCTAAAAAATAATTACAAGAGAGTACTTACAGCTAACGATTTTCATATTGATAACAAGATTTAGCTTAATAACCTTAAAAATTATATGTTAAATCTTTATTAATTGAATTAATCCTTATTAGTATCTGGTATCTGTGAAGAAAAAGGCATGCTCCACTTGACTCAACTGGAGACATGATTTCATTATTGTTCAACTTGTTTGTGTTGGGACCTGGCTGTGTTAGTCATTCATGCTATATTATTGTCCTTTGCAGCTTGCTTTTGATAGAAACGTCTTAGAAAGCTCTTTCCCGCTTTGTTTTATTGGCCATATTCTATATTCATTCCCATATTTATTATCAAAACAATTTTAAATTATTTTTATTCTTGATATAATATAGTTAGAAAAATTATTATATTTTTCAATTCCACCAAGAATAACATTAAAAGGTTATATATAACAATTTAAAAAATATAATTATTATTTATAGTGAGCATAAAATTAAATAAATTTGTTTTATTTTAAGGAAAGGAGGGAGTGGAGAAAATAATAAACTTAATGGGTCGGCGGAAACATGATGAGGACTCGCTGCGATTGTCAGCTAACTCGATCCGCCTGTCCCACTGAAGCGACACCTGGCATTAAAGATTGTGGGTTCCGTTTGACAAAATTATCACCTCGGGTAATTGATGCATTATTTTTATTATATTTTATGAGACATGTAAATTTTTAATGCTAAATGCCGTGAAGTGGACTCCCTAAAATTACCCATTCATTCCAGAAGTCTTCCTTCCCGTACATCTCAGCTCCTCACCCGATGCCGCCAATTTCCTTCCCCATAAAATTTAAAGGGAGAATGATAAGTAAGAAATTTATTAAAATTTTAATCTTAAAATATAATAAAAAAGTATTAAAATTTAAGAACATCAATATTAAAAAAAATTAATTTAATATTAATATTTTTATAAAGTCTGTGTTTATCATTTTTTTTTTAATTTCAAATGTCAGAGCAAGGCCACCAGGGCAAAGGCAGCACAGCAACCTGCATTCACTTTCTTATTTTAAAAAAAACTACATGTACGTTTTCTATATTATAATAAAAATGTAACTAATAGATATAATCAGATTTTAGTTCTATCAAGTTGATTATAGCATATTTGTTCTGCAAGAGAGAGGAACATTCTTTGGATTTAATGGCAATAAATTAAAACACTAAAATTAAGTCGATATGTTAACCAAATCAAAGTAAAATAAAGAACATGCTGGCAACCTGGGGTCTACTTGCTCATACATGGACCCCAGGAATTATGATGATATAATATGAGGATGCCGAAGAAATATGAATATGCGGCAGAGGAAAACACGTAATAAACCTCACACATCAACGCGTGTGTAATCCATTTTTACTGTAACTATATAGTGCTCCTTATCTTTAATCGGATTCTGATCACATATAGTGAATTTTGTGCATTGAATGAAAATTAGGAGGATCTCACCGTTCATTCTATGATTCTATCTAATAGTTGAAAAGAGAGGAGTGCATAAAAAAAACAGTGGACAAATATATTTTCTACAACAAAAAATTACTTCGTAATTCAAATTTTAAAAAACTTACTTCATAGTTCACATCAATAATTTAAAAATCAAAGTGGTTTAGAGTTTGGCTCGGTCAACATGTGAAAAAATTGGTTTAAAAATTGAGTTGGGTTGGACTATTTGGGACCAATATTGGATCGAAAATCAAGATCAAGTTGAGAATCAGATCTGATTTTTAAAAATTAAATTGTTTAAATTTTTTTTACAAAATGATCAATTTTTTTAATCATTTAATATTATATTATATCATGTGGCTTGTTAAATTATGATAAACTTAAAATATTTAGTTTTATTTTTAAATTAACTATAAATTTCATGTTTATTTCTTATATTTAAATTATTATATACATATATAATTTTTTTATTTAATTATCATGTCACTGATTTGACCATTAATCCGATTAAATCATATGAATCATGAACCATTGACCTTTTTGGTTCAATATTTGGTCCCATTCTAAAAACATTACTTCACATAATCCTAAAAAGATTTACTTCACAATTTAAATCCTAAAAAACTATGAAAAAATAGGTTTTAAAGAGTATATAAAAAAAAAAGGTTTGTGACCTTGGTCAAGACTCAAGACTTTCACGTTTGGTCTGGAAGAAAGGAAAAATAAGAGAAAAATAAAATAGGTGAATACTGAGTAAAAAATTGTCAAAAATATTTTCGTGTAGTGATTTTTTTTTAAAATTTTATTCTTATCCCCATCCAAGCTAGGGTCATTAGGCTAGGTCACAACGACCCGTCTTACTGGTATATTTTTAACCATTCATTTGTATTTTTTGGTGGTTGTGTATCTCAATGACATCGCTTATCTTTCTGCTCTTTTCTATTTGACAACTGGCTTACATACTTACGTCCATGTTCTCGTGAATGAATGTATTTATTTAAGGCCAAAATTAAATATTAATTCTTTCCTTCCCAAGCCGAATGTTCCCATTTGAATAAGGAGATCCGTTTAAAAACAATTGTATTGTTATAGACAGTGCGGATATTTTCATCACACTATTCACTAATACGGTGATGATGGATAAAGATTGAGATTTTTCAATTTTCAAACAGTTCTTTGTTGATAAAGAAACAAAAGTCAAGATCCAGTTATTTCAACAACTGCAATTCTTTACAACAGATCGTTAAACTCGCGAGTTTAAATAAACTCGTCATAAGAATATAAACTCATATTATAAATTTAAATTGTAAACTTTTAAAAATTTATCTCTATTAAAAAATCACTATTAAAATATGATTATAATTTAATTTAAATATATAAAAAATATAAATCATTAAAATTAAATTCATCTATATTGATGAATTACCATACACAAGACATGAAAATTTTAAAATAGGGAAACTTATTTTTAATATTTTTGTTTTCTTTTTTATTAGTATTATTTTTGCATTTCAAATTCTTTTTCTTTGAACCAAGTCTTATAACTTTCATGAACTAAATTCTTCGTATTATATACTTAACTTGCTCAATTCAAAAAAAAAATGGTGAGCTTAACAAGTTTAATCAGACTTGCATATGGTTTGAGCTTATGAATTAGTTAACATAATTTTATAAGTTAAAAATATAAAAATGATAAATTTGAAGATAATCTCACGAGTTTAACTGATTTTGTATTTAATCTGAGTTTATAAATAAGTTAACATAATTTTATAAGTTACAAATATAAAAATGTTAAACTAGTAAAGTCAACTTGAGATCCTTATGCACAAAATGCTTAGTTAATTACTTGAATTATGTGCGCACGTGCACATTAACTTGTTTATTTTTTTCACCCAAGTCACTTTTATAACTTATTCATATTTCCTGGTGGCCTCAAGTTAAGGTTTGAGCTGGTTAATCCATGCGACGTCTCTCCACACAATGATATTGCTAAGAAAGCTCTTGGTTCAATTTAAGGTTAAGAGAGTATACAATGATGCTTTATGTAACACCCTCAAATTTACAAACCGATTTTTCGCAAGTTATTAATTCAAGAAATCATTTTTTTTTTCATTGAACCCTTATCATACCCTTATCATGGTAGAAAAATTTCTACCATGATACATCCAAGACAATATACCACAGGTCTTAAAATATCTCAAAAAGCAATTAGAACCATGAGGGACAGACATGATCCTCATAGCATGTTATTTAAATTAGGTCATGAATCAAAAGGGACAGACATAATCCTCTTGGACATATAAATGCATTTAATAAAAAGGATTAGAGTTTACATGCTCCATAGACAAGATATGTCCTAAGTTGGCAAAAGATACATTGTATAATCCAAAATAAGAGGCAACGTAAAAGATGGTGTCTCATACACCATAATTACACCTCTGGTGCTTTCTCGGCCGGATTCGCTCCTGTAAAAATATTAACCACGGGGAATGAGACTTAAAAGTCTCAGTAACCAAAAATTAATATGTAATGATGCATGCGGATGTAACTAATCATGCGATTGCTAAGTGGGCACACAAAACATTTAACCGAACAATATTTTCAAACAAACTGAACAA